CTGGTCCCCCTGCTGATATACAATATAACGTGGCCTCTGGTTCTCCACTGATGTACAATATAAGGTGACCTTTGGTCCCCCTTCTGATGCTAGATATAAGGTGACCTCTGGTCCCCCTTCTGATGAACAATATAAGGTAGCCTCTGGTCCCCCTATGATGTACAATATAAGGTGACCTCTGGTCCCCTTTCTGATGTACAATATCAAGTGACCCTTGGTCCCCTGCCGATGTACAATGTAAGGTGAACTCTGGTCATCCTACTGATGTTAAATATAAGGTGACCTCTGGTCCCCCTACTTATGTTCAATATTAGGTGACCTCTGGTCCCCCTACTTATGTACAATTAAAAGGTGACCTCTGGTCCTTCTGCTGATGTACAATATAAGATGACCTCTGGTCCTACTACTCTGTACAATATAAGGTGTCCATTGGTCCCTTTATTGATGTTCAATATAAGGTGACCTCTGTTCCCTCTACTGATGTACAGTACAATATTAGGTGACCACTAGTCTCCGTACTAATGAAAAATTTCGGGTGACCTCTGGTCCCCGTACTAATGTACTATATAAGGTGTCCTCTGGTCCCCCCAACTAATGTACAATATAAGGTGTCCACTGGTACAACTGCTGATGATCCATATAAAGTGACCTCTCATCCCCTAACTGATGTACAATAAAAGGTGACCTCTAGTCCCCTTTCTGGTGTTAAATATAAGGTGTCCTCTGGTCCTGCTACAGATGTACAGTACAATATTAGGTGACCACTAGTCCCCGTACAATATAAGGTGACCTCTGGTCGTCCTTCTGATGTTATATAAAAGGTGACCTCTGGTCCCCCTACTGATGTACAATATAAGGTGACCCTAGGTACCCCTCCTGATGTACATTTGTGACCTCTGGTCAGCCTTCTGATGTTTAATATAAGGTGACCTCTGGTCCCCCTACTGATGTTCAATATAAGGTGAACTCTGTTCCTCCTACTGATGTACAATATAAGGTGACCTCTGGTCCCCCTACTGATGTACAATATAAGGTGTCCTCTGGTTCACTACAGATGTATAGTATAAGGTGTCCTCTGGTCCCCTTATTGGTGTACAATATAAGGTGACCTCAGGTCCCTCTACTGATGTACAGTACAATATTAGGTGACCACTAGTCCCTGTATTAATGTAAATTATCGGGGAATCTCTGGTCCCTGTACTGATGCACAATATAATGTGTTCTCTGGTGCCCCTACTGATGTACAATATAAGGTGACCACTGGTCCCCCTACCGATGTGCAATATTAGGTTCCTCTGGTCCCCTACAGATGTATAGTATAAGGTGTCCTCTGGTCCCCCTATTGATATACAAGAGAGGACCTTAGGTCCTTCTGCTGATGTACAATATAAGATGACCTCTGGTCCTACTACCAATGTAAAATATAAGATGTCCTCTGGTCCCGCTACAGATGTGCAGTACAATATTAGTTGACCACTAGTCCCCGTACAATGTAAAGTGACCTCTGGTCCTTCTGCTGATGTACAATATACGATGACTTCTGGTCCCCCTACTGATGTACAATATGAGGTGACCTCTGGTCTCTCTACTGATTTACAGTACAATATTAGGTGACCACTATTCCCCGTACTAATGTAAAATATCGGGTGACCTCTAGTCCCCGTACTGATGTATAATATAAGGTGTCCTCTCGTCCCCCTACTGATGTACAATATAAGGTGACCTCTGCCCCCTTACTTATGTACAATATAAGGTGTCCGCTGTTCCCCCTGCAGATGTATAGTATAAGGTGTCCTCTCCCCCCCCCCCCTCACTGATGCACAATTTAAGGTGCCCTCTGGTCTCCATACTGATGTACAATATAAGGTGTCCTCTGGTCCCTCTACTGATGTACAGTACAATATTAGGTTACCTGTAGTCCCCCTACTGATGAACAATATAGGGTGACCTCTGGTCCCCCAAATGATGTACGATATAAGGTATCCCCAGGTCCCTCCTATTATGTGCAATAAAAGATTACATTTGGACCCCTATTGATTTAAAATGTAAGGTGACCTATGATCCCTCTGATTATGTACAATATAAGGTGACCACTGGTCTCCCTGATGATGGTAAATATAAGGTGGCCTCTGGTCCCCTTACTGACCTGTAAGGTGATTTATTTTTGGTCCCCCTATTGATGTACAATATGAGGTTACCTCTGGTCACCCTTTATTACTTTCATGTTTCTGCTTATATATATATTAGAAAGTTGATCTTTATAAAGTTATAAATATGATAATTTTTGAGTAAGACAAAGAAAATTGTCTATCTTATAAAATTCAATTAATATATAAGGTGACCTGAGGTCTCCGTATTGATATCGATGAATTTACTTTTGTGCCTTTGATGCCTGGAGAGTTCCTAGAATGTTTTATTACTACGCAAAATGACGAACTATTTGCGGGGGACCCCAGGTCCTAGTTGAGCGTACGTTTTTTCCTTCTGCGCCATACACATGTGTTTTCATTACACGATAAATTATGTTCCAAAACACAACAAATTGCGCTGGTTACTTTATAGTTAATTTAAACACATCCTTGACATTCCCCTTTCCAAATGACACTTGATATGCCCTTTAGAGCAAACAACACAGACATACAAAGATTTATTACATGTACATATCAAGTAATGCGTAAGCTTGCATAGAATACAGTTTCGAGATTATCGACCATGGTGGGCTCATTTTTCGAGAAAACAGACAGATCGATATGACAGATATTTATACATTCAATTCCACAATCATTTTTGTAGTCTTTTTGAAAATTGCAATGCATTTGGTCAATTTTTGGCAATTTCTCGAGCATTCGAAATGGGAAAGTGGCAAACACAACGCACAAAAAATGGCGACGTTCTATGTCATAAGGGCGCAGCGGAGAACAGTTCAGTTTAATTAAGATGTTGTTATGACACCTTGAGAGACTTTAAATGATTAAAGAAGAAAAAAATATAAAAAAAATCACCAGATTTTAAGTATGCAAATGAAATGGGAATATTTTTAGCGAAGTCTTTTTTTATCGGTTGCCTGGTAGCACAAACATATTGACAAACTCCATTTGTAATACCAAACGACGCTGTCACAGTCGACCGCCCATATGAGATTTTCTATTAGTTGAATGATGGCGAGAATATTGAGAATAAATCTTCAGAAGTTTTTTTTTGTGCTAATTGGTTCTTCAACCGTTGAAGGAGAATCGAGTATATATGTTTATCAATGAAATTTTTCAATTTAAGTCGGACTTATCCAACTTCATTTTTAGCAAAGATTAAATTAAACATGATACTAATATAGACACTATATCGTTATAATCCTTGCGCCATAAGGCGATACAATACATAATATAAAATCTCATAATTTGTTTATTTATGTATATATTTATTTGAAATTTATTTGAAATATATTAATAAAATATGTACTAAATAACAGTGAAAATTTCAGAACGCAGCGATATTTATTTCTTACATTAGACAACTTGTCCACGATTTTACCGGACAACCCTCGCATTATATCTTTTTGGATGTCACATTTAAACGTCACTGATACACAATACATGTATGAACAAAAAGTATCTAGAGTACCTTGAATGGTTAGATTTTTGAGAATGGCGTGTCATTCATGTCACTTGAAACTCCCTCCATATCATACCTTAGGGCTAGCAGAACTTTTCTTTCACACATTATAAGTATACTTTTTTATTCTTATATCACAGCAATAAATTTGAAAACCCAAGGATAATCATTCTACACGAGAAATACCAAACAATACATTATTACATTTATAGAGATGAATCTGTTGTAGAAGCTTTTCTTTTTGTTCATGCCATTGGCATACCAAATTATAGGTAAATAGGTAAAATGAGAAGAAAAATATGAATTCAATCAAAATGCTATCTAATAGATATAAATACACCAAATACTTTTGTTGCTAAGTCCCTGACATCTGGCGTCAGATATAATTACAGCCTTGAGAAATTGACATGCTTTTACTATGCACTTGCATTTCACTTGGCAAAATATAGATTTTGTAGTAAATATCGAGAAGGCAGCACACTTAACACGCAAGAAGAGAACACATAATTTATCAACTTCATTTTACACAGAATATCTCCTTTTTTGGCTGAAGTCTGTCCACACCTATTGTGATTGCAATGCCCCAGTTATCATCGCTGGAACTTATCTTGACAAAGTCAAAAGCCAGGTATGCATGCATAGTTTTTAAAATTTAAAATTAGGAATATGCTCTTCATTAAATTATAGCTTTTCAATTTGTACCTACACATTTACTTATGCTCATCCTAAAGAAAAAAAGCAAACTTTGCACATGATGTCCCTTTTAGAAAAAAAAATTACCATATAATATGTATATCTATGTCAATTTTTGCAGAATTCTGATGCGTTTTACAACAAAATACTGGATCACGTGCAGTTCAACAAACATTTGAAGGCGCACTTAGACAGGAAGAGATGCTTTGTTCTTGGTTTCCATGCAGACGGTACACCATTTTTTGATGGACTTTTTGATTTAGAAAAGTGTATTATTGAAATTGCAAGAGAAGAAAGATGGAAAGAAAGCATCCCCATAGACTGGGCTTTATGTGAGGTAGTTTTTCGAGAATTGAGAAAAAAAGGGAAAAAAATGATGTCAGTGGCAGAATTAACCGACAAATGCTTTGGTCAAAATAAAGCAAAAAGTGCGCAAATAGAAGACATCTTGAAATTTTACCATGATATTGGGGTAATTCTTTACTTCCATGAGGGAGCACTTTCTGACACAGTAATCCTTGATATCCAGTGGTTCATTGATTCTTTCAAGAACATCATTACAGACCCAAACCACGTCAGGGATGTTGCACAAAACAGGCGTGATTGGTTAGATTTTTACAAAAGTGGTCATATATTAGACACACTTTTGAATGACCTATGGAAATTGGGAAAATTCAAATTGAAAATCTGGAATAGGTACCAGTACAAAGAACATCTTCTCCAGTATATGGAACGTCTTGGCTTAATTGCTGTTGGTACAGTTGCTCATTATATTCCGTGTACGAATAAGCGCACATTTGGATGTGCTGAGGAGAAATATTTCCTCTCTTTGAAACACAAAACTCCAGTCTTGGTCTTTCGATTTGAATTTCTGCCATATTTCTTCTACTTCCGTCTGATCGTTTCCTGTTTGACAAGGACCAACAAAGAATGGAGAGTTTTACAAGACAATGGACTTTGCCTTTACAAAAACGTTGCTTGTTTTGCGTATAAGCTGCATGCAGTCGCTTTGGCCGTGAATCCTTCCTCCATACAACTACAGGTGTTTCAACCGACAAATATTTCAGTTACCAAGAAGGTTGCATTGGAAGTTCGTAAGATTATCACACATTTATTGAATGATTTGCTGGAGAATTATCACAAAAAAATCGACATGTACACTGTTGGGTTCCAATGCTCAAAGCAGGAAGTATTTCATGAACATGATGATTGCTTCGTTAAAGAAGAGCAGTTGTTAAAGGAGGGGACTATGCTGTGCCCAAAACATGAACTGAATAACAGCCATATTCTACATGAATCAACTCTGCTATTTTACTGGAATCAGGTAATCATCACTGATGTTCTAAGTATATGTGAATAAAATCACTATAGAACATGCATATAATTACTTGTTGAATACCTTGCCTTATATAAAATATTTTTTCACGTGAATTTGGTAACTGAGAATCACATTTATTCATATATATTGAAATTTGAATGCTAAAAACAGTCGATCATCTTTATTGTTCATGCCGTATTACTTGATCATCCTGAAAATCTGACATAAATATATAAACTCAAAATTGAATCTTAAATATCATTGAACAAAAAATTTTTTGCATTCTTACATGAAATGCTTATTTTGAAAACTTATGGTTTACTAAGATATTTCTAATATATCATTCAAAAGTTTGTTTCATATTTTTTAGGATGTACTTGCAGAGTCAACAGGTATTTTTTCATCGAAAAATAAACATATTACATGAATTTGCACCTTAACTCAAAAATGACCTTGAAATTTCTTTCAGTAGAATTATATGCATTTCTTTTCACTTCTACCTCAGACCCTGACGCTCTAGTTGAAAATAGGGCTTGTAGGAATCTTCCAGAACCTGAAATGAGAAGATACAGAGTTCAGTGTTTCGAAAAACTCACAAAAAGTGGCAGAGAAGCTCTTCAGATGTACTTTGACAAGGTCTTCCCTCCGGCAGAGCTATTTATGTTACTTCAGAAAAATAAAGAAAACTTACGTAAACAGTTCAATACAGACCAATGTGATCTACTGTTTCCAGGTATCCCAGATTTTAAATTATTATTGCACGGTTTTTATTTTTGATTCACCAATTAAACATCTTTGACCAAATTTTAAACATTGTTTGTCTTCTTATGATGTGCTGAGTCTGTCATTATTTTTGTTTCTTTATAACAATGCAAAATTTCAAAGAATACAGCAAAAATATCATTGATCTTTCTGGAATGATAAGGGAATCTAAAACTTAAGGAAGAATGCCACACTAACTTTTTTATTTTCTAGATCTCTGAGTCAACCTTTGAAAACAATGGTTTGAGGATTGAAGGCCGACATTAGCTCTTAATTATTTTATGATTTTTTTGTATTTTTTCAAAGAAAATTCAAAAAATTATTTACATCCAAAGTAGATGCTTTCTTTGCTTTCTTGTAAAAATTTTGCTGTAAATTAAATGAATGCATCACATGAATACCTAATAAAATATGTAAAGAAAAGCCGTAAAGATATCATTTATATATATATATATATATATATATATATATATATATATATATATATATATATATATATATATATATATATAAAAGTATTTTTTATATGAAAATAAGCACACAATTTGTGAATATTTTTTTAAACTATCGTTAACATTTTTTCAAAACCAGTCACAACTGGGGAGAACATGTTCATCAATTATATTTCTGAAAGAAATTGAAACAAAATAGCCAAATTTTAGAGAATATATATATTTTTTTAATTTTTGGCCACGCCCGATCATAATTAAAACGATTTCAACCATAATTGTACAATTATTGGAAATAAATAACTTCCTCAAGATCACTAGTCAGATTAGGTGATGTACGGGCTAAAACTTTATTGAACCTGACAATGAAATAGATTTCTTCATTGTAAAACATGAAAAGGCAATAAATTCGCATTTTATTCATTTTGTGTTAACTTTGATCGGGATGAGTTTAATTTTGATCGGGTTAGGTCCAAATACTAAAAAAATTAATTTCTTTAAAATTTCTCCATTTCATATTAATTTCTTTTTAAAATATGATTGACAAACATGTTGTCCTTAGTGATTCTAAAATTAAAATTTAAAATTAAAAATTTTGTTTTATATTCATAAATAATTTATAAAAAAAAAATTAAAAAGTCTAACCAGCCTCTCTTTACATATATTATAAGATATTCATAGGATGCATTCATTTACAGCAAACTTTTAATTCGGAAAAAAAACTTATTTGGACATAAATATTTTTTGTTTCATTTTCTTTGAAAAAATACAAAAAAATTAATATAAAATAATTAAGAGTTAATATCAGCCTTTCAATTCTGAAACCATTGCTTCAAAAGGATGACTTCAAGATCTATAAAATAAAAAAATTGATGTGGCATTCCACCTTAAATAAAACCGTGGTTAAATCATATCTTCCGTCATCAAGAAGTTGTGATTATGAATATCGCCTCGACTGACCTAAGTCAATAAAAAAAAATGCGTAGCAACTGAAGTGAAAGTTGTGAGTACTTCGAACGAGACCTTAAAAACTGAGGCCCCGCGGCAATGCGGTTGCACGATAGAGATCCCCACTGCTGAATGCCCCTGAATGCCTTGTAAAGGTCGCAATTTGAAGGCCTTCATTGGTATATGGTGACGTCTCTATAAAAAAATTTAAGGAAAAAAAACAATAAATATAGGAGAAAACTTCGATGCACAAGACTGCCGCTACGAAATATTAAACGAAAGTATCAAAATGCTTATTTTTTAAAGCTAACTCCTAAGGGATTGAATTTTATTTTTTTAAAATTCTAATTCATTAATTTATTTTTGTTTGATAAAATAAATTTTTTTTAAAAAGTTATTTCATTTACACAACATTTTTATTTTAAAAGTTTTCTTTCAAAAGTTTATCTTTCAGAAAATATTTATGTTATTTCATATTTTTGATATGATCATACAGTCGATAAATCGATTCCAACCTCTTCTGCCTTTGATGTGACCATCATGTACAAACTGTTGAGGAACTACGGACCAAACCTTCCTACCCCGACCAAAGGCTGGGGGAAGACACCGGACCCGGGACAGAAATCTCCTACTGATGACGTAGAGAGGATCCGAGTTTATAGGAACGAAGTGGAACATAAAACTCCGGCAACTAGTGTCATGGAGAAAGAGGACTGTCGTCTGAAGTGGAGGGATTTATGTCAGGTGATATAGGATAAATCTATTTTAACTGTTACAATTGTAGGCTGAAGGTGAAAAATTAAAGAAAAAAAAATTAAGTGTTCGCATCATTTATATCATTTATTTTGAATTGTATCAAAATTGCTAAGTTATTTCTTCACTGCATTACAATGTATCATCAACTAGTGACTGCTTATATTTTGCTTAATTAATGCAAGAAAGAAATTCCTTTCTATCGATCTATAGGCTAGAAGGCTTGCAAATGACACCTTCTCTTGCAGGTAGTGATTTATTTATTAGAATGTATTCCTGTCTTGTTGATGGAGATACAAGTTTTATGACGGCCAGTTATTACATTTCTGTAGGAGAAACAGATATATCTGCTAATTTTCTTGTAAACTCAATCTATCAGATTTAATGGTATATAATCTATAACAGTACAGCTTTACAGAGTCAAAACTTCTAAAATTTTGTTTATACAGGCAATACTACGACTTAGCGAAGGAAGCCTGGAACAAGATATAATGGAACTCATATATTGAGGCACCAAGACTGAGAAAGTATTAGCGTCATGTTGTGTTATTGCATAACCATCAGACGTTTACTCTCACAATCTTTTCTCTGTTGTATATTTTCTTTAGTCAAGATTTTTTTATGATTTGTTTTCTGTGAAAATCGTTAACTTTTCAGTCAACAGACTGATACAAAGCAAAATTTTTAGCAAGGATTTAATTTTGGCATTATTAGCGAAGGTGATGAGACCGCTAAAAAATTAATTGCGTTTCAGTTGTAATGGCTTCTTTAGTGGGCTTTTTATAATATCTCTTAATTTACTTCTCGCTTAAAATGAAATACCTATTTCTAAGGATAAATCGATAAATATGTCTCTCGCTACCACTTATACGGTATATTAAGCGCACTATGGACATTTATAGAAATAAGCACATTTGGCTGTCTATGTTTCTATCTGTCTTGTCTTTGAGTGTTCACATATTTATAAAACTAAAATGTTAATTCCCTATGGCACCTGATCCGACCAAACAAACGTCTTTAGTGAAATGGTTTACTGTTTTGCAAATTTGTTAATTTTTTTTTAAATCTTTTGTTTTCATTGATTGTATTTTGGCGATTCCCCTTATTTCATATGTACCAGTCATAACTTGTTATTGAAAATATGTCTTAGTTAGAGTGTCCTAGTGAGAGATTCAATTTTTTTTTTTTTTAATTCTTTATTTATTTTACACAATCTGTTTTATAAATCAAAATACACATTTTATCATAGTACAGATTGGTTTTTCAGAGAGAGAGAGAGAGAGAGAGAGAGAGAGATGGGAGAAAGAGAGATAAAGGGGGGAGAGAGAGGGAGAGGGAGAGATGGCATGTTATTTCTTTTACATAAATAAACAAAAAAACTTTTTCATTTCATAAAAACAATTGATTCCACTGATTCCAGTCGGTGTCAAAAATCTCTCTGTCACCATTTTTATATGCTAAATATTTTTGAGTTTCATAAAAAAAATTAATATGTGAAGTCGCAAGTCTGACATCTAATTTTTTTCCTAAGCATCTCATTGTATATATATAATATTTTATCCATAGGAACAGCAAGTTATGAATGTCTTTGTTTTTTACTAGAAATCCCAAAATAAAATTTTGCTTTGTAAATGAAAGTTGTAACCCTATCTTTTGCTCACAATATGTTTCAAAATTGTTGAGGAAGGTTTGTACATTGTCACACTCCCATAAAATATGTATTATTGTTTCTTCTTCCATATTGCAGAAAGAACATAAGTTATTATCTCTTTTCCTTATTTTACATAGATATGAGTTTGTACCTAGTATTTTATTTAGAATTCTGTATTGAAACCATTGCAGTTTACTATTTTTTGTAATCTTAAATGGAAGTTTAAAAATCCTTCTCCATTCACTTTCCCCTAAATTAAAAATATCATTCCATCTTGTTTTCCCAGTGGGTTCAATATCATTTACATTGATTAATTCATAAAACTGTTTCGCTTTTTTACACATTGAAAGAAAATGAGTGCTGGACAAAATTAATGGGTTAGGTAATTTTGCAATTATATCATTAGTGTCTGTTGCTTTCATCCATGCCTTTACAGCATGTATTATACCTGCAAAATCTAAGAAATTAAGCCTTAAATTTGGATATATGCCACAAAATTCCTCAAAACTATAACAGGAACCATTTTCATCTATAAGATCATTAATAAATCTAATATTCAAGTCATACATATTTTTATTATAAATAACTTTCCCACCAATGACAATTTTAGGATTATAAAAAATTGGTATGTCTCCTGCAACCTTGGATAAACTATAGTTTTTATTATTTAATTCAATCCAAGCCTCAAAGACATCTTTCCAAAACTTGTTTTTAAGATTCTTCATGATGTTTTTAATATATTCAATGCCGCATGTTAATATTTTTATCAAATCTAGATTAGGTAAAAAATTTTGTAAACCTTTATCTGACAGTATAAGCTGTCTCATCCAAAATAATTTAAGTGATGCAGTGAAAGCTCTAATATTTATCATTTTTAGTCCACCTTCTTCATATTTTTTCACTAAGACATCTTTCTTTACTCTGTGTTGAGGACCATTCCATACAAATGAGAAGAATAATTTTTCCAGTTCCTTCAAAAGGTTTTCTGGTGGATTTGGAATAGCCATTAGTATGTGGTTTAATAGTGGTATAACAAGAGTTTTAAGAACAGTTATCTTTCCAATAGGTGTCAAATATCTTTTACTCCACTGACTAATTACAGCTTTTATTTGTCTTAATTTTGGTTCATAATTGAGTCTTTCAATTTCATTCAAATCAACATCATAATGAATTCCAAGTAAGGTAAATCTTGTACATCCCCACTTAAGATTATACTCATTACTTAGTATTTCTTGACTAAATCTTTTGGAACCGATCCAAACTGCATGGGATTTCGAACAATTGATGTACAAACCAGACATTTCTGAAAATTTCTTTAATGTTTTCATCACTTCTGTTAATGATTCTTTGCTACCATCTAAAAGGATTGAAGTGTCATCTGCTAATTGGGATATTTTCTTTTCCATATTTTTTACTGTAATTCCCTTGATTTTTTTATTTTTTCTTATCATTATTGCTAAAATTTCTGCACACAAGATAAAGATATAGGGTGATAGGGGGTCTCCTTGTCTACACCCTCTCTGTATATTAAATCTTTGTGAAAAATTACCACTTTGATTAATTGTGGAATTTATATTGGTATAAAACAATTTCACCCATTTTTGTATTGAGGGACCAAAATTAAAAAACTGTAAGGAACTCTGAATAAAATTCCATGAAATAGTATCAAAAGCTTTCTCGAAGTCAATCAAAAGCAACAAGCCTGGTATATTTTCTTCTTCTGTGTACTGCATTATATCATAAATTAAACGTGTATTTTCTCCTATGTACCTATTTGAAATAAATCCCGTTTGATCACTATTTATCAATTTGTCCAATTTATTTTTTATTCTGTTAGCAATAGAACCTGATGCAATTTTGTATACAGTATTTAGGAGTGTTATTGGCCGCCAGTTTTTTAGAAATTGTCTTGGCTTATCCCCCTTAGGTAAAAGCGTTATTATACCATGTCTCTGTGTGATAGACATAAGATTATTCTCATATGCATAATTAATTGATCTAACAACAAAGTCTCCAAGGTATTTCCAAAAAACTTTAAAAAATTCTGCCGAAAAACCATCAGAACCAGGTGATTTGTCTGCTTTCATTTTATTTAAAGTGCTAGAAGCCTCCTGTAAAGTAATGAAACCTTCTAATTCTTCAGCTTCTGCATTAGATAATTTTGGAGAATTCTCACTTATTAGATCTGACTCAAATTCTTTCAGTGGTTTACTCAATACAGATTCAGAATATAATTTTTCATAAAAATTCTTTGTTTCTTCTAAAATTTGTGCTTGATCATGGATTATCTCCCCTGTATCTAATTCTAGCATAGGTATTATTTTACTAGTATAGTTCCTAGACTCTAGAGAACAGAAATATTTTGTAGGTTTTTCTCCCTCATCTACCCATCGTGCCCTACTTCTTACACATATACCTTGTAATTTATGTTTTCTTAAATTTTCAAGGTCTTGTTTTTTGTTTTCCAAATCAGAAATATTTTCATCTGTAATATTTTCTTCAAGTTTATTTATTTCTTCTCTTAATTTTTTTTCTGCATTTTCATTTTTCTTTTTTAGGTATGAAGAATATGAAATACTTTTGCCCCTGATTTCCATTAGAAGAGTTTCAAGAAACAATTGATCATTTATAGTAAAACATATGTCTTTGTCGTGAAGAGAATCTATACATTTTCTTTCATAAACTGGTACAGCATACTGCTTTTTAATATTACTAATGACCTCTTTAATGCTATCTAAGTACTCTTTGTCCCTTAAAAGAGAATTATTAAACTTCCAGAAGCCTCGTCCTTTTTTAAAGTCATGAAATTTTAACACCAAAGAAATCATTGAATGGTCTGATCTATAGCTAGTTTCAATGTTACATTTATTAAGGTGAGGTAAAAGTGTTTCTGACATGACAAAAAAATCAAGACGACTCTGTTTAAAAGGCTTTTTCTTGCGCCAAGAATACCTTCTGTGTTTTTCATGTAGTTGTCTAAAGGGGTCTATATATCCATTGGACTCCATAATTTCTAATAATTTACTTCTAGCCTTTGGGTTGTTTACATGTTTATAATTAAAATAATCGAGTTCTGGATTCAATACTAAATTAAAATCCCCGCACCATACAATATTACTACAATTCATGTCCTCTAAATATGATTCAATATTCTCAAAAAAACTCGGAGTGTCATTATTTGGACCATATACAGTACATATTACTAATTCATGACCTTGAATACAAGCTTTAATAATATGAAAATTTCCATCTTTATCACCTTTTTCTGATAAGACCTTGAAATCAAAGTTGTTATTTACAAGAAGTGCAACACCTCTGGAGTTGCTTGTAAAAGAACTAAAAAAACATTTATAACCCCATAAGTTTCTCACTTCATTCTCAATTTCAGATGAGAAGTGAGTGTCTTGTAAGCAATATATGTTATATTTAAGTGTTTTTAAATATATAATGAAAAACATCTCTACGTTTTGCGACATCACCCAGACCTTGACAGTTAACTGATAATATTTTAACCTCCATCAAAACAGAGTAATGACATTGGGACTTGACACCGACTGGAATTCAGACTGTAAATGAAAGGTTTGATTTTATCACTTTGTTGAAAACATGCCGTACGAAAAGAGAAAGAAGAGGAAAGTAAGAGAAGAAAAACATGAAAAGAAAAATAAAACATATTTTGCGTTACAGTAATGTCAGTAGAGGATTGTCCTGGCAATAATTCATACCATTAACCACATGTATGGAATGTCCGTATAGGTAGTAGCTCAATACCGGTTGTTTATCTGTGCCGTGTAATCTCAGAACCTGTGCGTAGTATAGTAATTTCCGGATTGCAGATTTTACTCCTGGTCTTCTTTAGGATTTATTTTTTCAT